GCGCCTGATGGTTTCGATCTTGGCATGTGCGAGCGCGATAGTTGAACGGTCGTCTTTCGGAGGCCACGTCTCCAGGTCCACAGCACTCTGGATTGCTGAGATCATCGGCGCCACTGCAGCTGCTGCCAGGCTAACAGGATAAGCGTTGCCCGTGGCCTGGAGCGACACCGCGTCGGTGTCGAAGAAGTCGTGAAGATCGGGCTCGAATCCTACGGGGACCAAATGCGTTCGGTAAAGGGGGAGGGCGGGAGAGGTCCCAGGGGGGATGGGGGGAGGGAGGAGGAAGGAGGGGGGAGGGAGGAGGAAGGACGATGGGTGGAGGGAGGTATGAGGGAGGAGGGAGGGAGGAGGGGGAGAAGGGGTATGCGCGACGAGGGCGATCAGAGGAAGGCCAGAGGAGGGAATAGAAGGAGGGCGGTGGCAGGAGGAGCTCAAAGATCGGCGAGGAGGGGAAGGAGTGGAGAAGGGGCAGAAAGGGGGAAGGGGGAGGAAGGAGGAGGAAGGAGGAGGGGAGCGGTGAAGGGGGCAATGTGGAAGTGAGGGGGAACGGAGGGACGGAAGGCAGAAGGTGGATGGAGCAGGGGGGTGAACTGAACATCATGTTATGGCCCTCGTTCCATGTGTAGGGTCGCTGCTTCGCGATTATCCGACAGCCCCATTACTATTATGTTTTTCTATGTAACCACGCTGTCCTTGCAGGGCGAACCTCTCCTTGGGGTGAAGGTACCTGGACAGGCTCCTCTGGCTGACCGGCTTCTCGAGGTCACTGATGGCCAACACCCGCAGATATCGGTTACCAGTTAGGAGCGCAGGGACCACGTCCTTGAGATAATACGTTTTGAAGGCTACATTATCCGCTTTGCGATCGATTGAGAAACAAACGATGCTGTCCTCGGTCACCTTCCCTTCTTTGAAATCAGTTTTGAGTTTCTTTTCCATGTCTTTCAGGTTCTTCTGTAGCTGAGGCGCCAACGTCTTGACGTCGGTGTTGGGGAGGCACATGTTCAGGAAGTCCTTCAGGGGGCGGGGGCCCAGGGGGGGCATGGCTGATGGGATTGTCGCTCTGTCAGGGCAGCGCGTCTTCCGGGGGCCGCGCAGAAATACCCTGGTCCTGTTTTGCGCCAGCATGTAATCAGATGCTTTCAACGTGATGATGTCGAAAGCGAAGTCGGGGAGAACGGCTTCCAAGGCTGATTTCACCCGCTCCATGAAAGATCCCTGCCCTGAGCGATTGATATTGCACCCTTCAACGTTCCCCAGGAAGAACGCCAATAGGCCGAAACAAGCAAGCCAGACGACCCACTCGACGACCATCCTGAATACGTCAGCACGGGAATCGAGAGCACCTCGGCCGCCGATCAAGTTCGATGCTTCTCCCATGGGGTGAGAACCAGGCAGCATCCTGTGCGTAAAAAAGCAATGCGCGGAAGGGATGCCAGATATCTTCTTCGCGTCGTCAGGGGAGGGGGGAGATTATCTCTGGGGCATGGGGCAATGGGCGGGTCGAGTTTGGGGCGTTGCCAGCTTGGTTCGTCACCCCCTGAGTAGGCGCACCCAATCTTGAACGCCGGACCTTCGCCCGTGCCAATGAGCGACCACCCCGGACAGGGCGGCCCAGCGCCCAACATATGGACTGGTAGAAGCAAGTCCTGGGCGGGCATCTGGAGGACGTCGCCCTCGCTCTTGCCGACCTTGCAAGAGTCGCCGAAGATGGCTTTCAGGTACTTAGAGTATCGATCCTCGATGTCGCAGACATTCACCCCCTCGACTTTGATGTTCATGTCGCGGAGGCTCCACCCGAAACCATCTAGCCCGCAACACGGCATGGCCACGCGAAGTGGCTTCTGAAGATCGAATTGGGGTAGGATTGCGTTCCACTGGTTGGCTGAGGGAAAGTTTTCAAGGGGTCAGTCATACTTCGGGGGTCTGATCCTCCCACGGTTTCGCTGTGTTCGCTTTGTGCCAAAACAATTAGCTATAAACCGGGAGGTGCTCCACGGCCCCTCTCCGTCCACCCTCCCCGGCGTCTTCTCGTTCTCCTGGCGCCAGGTACGTTTGCTTGGGCCATGTTGCGTCAGGTACGTTTGCTTAGGCCATGTTGCGTCAGGTACGTTTGCTTGGGCCATGTTGCGTCAGGTACGTTTGCTTGGGCCATGTTGCGTCGTGGCTTCCTCCTCCGCCTCCTGGCCTTCTTATGCGCCCCCAGCCTCCTCCTTTCCCTCCTCTTCCCCTTCTCCTCCATCCACGGTCCCCCGAGAATGTCAGCGCTCATGGCCAGCGGAGCTTACGTGCTGGCCTCCCTGAGGAGGCGGCGGAAGGGAGCAAGGAGAAGGGGGAGGGAGGATGAGGATGGATGCGGGGGAGGGGGATGGGGAAAGAAAACTCATGAGGGGAGCGAGGGAGAGAGGGGGGAGGATGGGGGAGGATGGAGGGGCGAGGGACGGGGAGGATGATGAGGGAGAAGGAGGGAACGTAAGGGTGATGAAGCTGCGGGTCAGCGGTCATGAACGTTTCCGAGAGCGTTCCAAGAGCACCTCGGGAGCATGCAACGGGCGTGTCACGGGCGAGTCACTCGCATGTCACGGGCATGTCAATGGCATGTCACCGCGTGTCACCCGCGTGTGACATGCGTGTGACACGCATGTGACATGCGAGTGACATGCACGTCACCGCGTGTCACTTGCGTGTCAACGGCGTCGGCTACTCAGAGGCATCCCGGAGAGTAAGGGAGATGATGAGCGCAGGGAAGGGGATGAAGACTGCGGATGCCCAGGCAAATATAGAAGGATGTGAGGAGGACGGAGCGTGGAGGCATGGGGGGTGAGTTCGAAATGAGAGCGAAGAGAGAGATACATGGAGCTGCACATGTAGGGCGTGAGACGCGGCCGGAGGTGAAGTATAAAAGACAGCAGAGGGGTGGGAGAGAGTGAGTCTGAGCAGGGTGGAGGGGGCATGGCCCCTGGGAGGGGGGCTGGAGAAGAGGACCTGCTGTAGGGGGGAGGGAGGAGTGGAGGGTGGAAGGATTGAGGAAGCATGTATTCTTCAACGCTAGACGTATCCCATAGCGTGGCCTTTCCCAGGCCGCGAATGTCATGAGTGCGCGAGAGCGCCGGTGACAGCCCAGGGTATATTGCATACCAAGCACCAGCGGTAAGACGCGCGTGCGGGAAGCAAGTCAGACGGGCGAGCCTCGTCTGAGCTACAGATCTAGCCTCTCGCCTGAACTAGGCGGACCCCTCCTCGATCTGCGACATGGCCTCGGAGATCTGCCCGTCGATGCGCTCCGAGGCGTTGTTGGCCGACAGCTGCTTCTGCTTCAGGAGCCCCATCAGGTTCTCGAAGTCGCCGCACCCCTTGAGCAACGCCAGGCCGACCTGCTCCTCGACCTGCTTGATCTCCTCGATGATCTTCGTCGCGCCCGGCACCGAAATGGCAGGAATGTGCTCCTTCAGCACTGGCTTCGCGGCGTTGTCCCTGGCATCGTTGAGCTTGTAGCGGGCAGCCTGCACTTTCGTCAAGAACGTCTCGAGCCTTTTCTTCTGGCCAGTTTTGAGCTTGGCGCCCTCCTCCTCCTCGGCGTCCTCCGCCCCCCCTTCGCCCTCGGTCCTCGGCTTCTTGCTGACTGGCCTGTGGGCGAACTCAACGTTGCGCTTCTGCACGCGCGTGTGCTCCTCCTCGTCCATGAGCACCGACTGGAATTCGAGGTCTTCCCAGATCTTGCACTGGCGCGTCGGGTGGGTCAGGGTCCGGCCGTGCTTGAGCACCGCGGCCACTTGCTCTGGCATGTTCTTGTACTTGTCCTCCAAGTCCTGCTGGTCCAGCCACGTCCCAGTTCCCTTAAACTGCGAGAGGCTCGTCATCCTCTTGGTATCCTGGATCAACTCCTGCATCCTTGCGAGCAGGTCGTCGCCCGCCAACTGGCAATGGTCCTTGTAGAACGATTTCTTCTTCTCGTCAGGCACCGCGGTCCAATCCTGGACCAACCTGCCGCGGTTGCTTACCAGGCGATCGCAACGGGCTTTGCAGTTGTGGCAGTCCTTGCACCGATACACCGGCTGGGGATTCTTCCTGTTCGCCCTCCTGACGACGACGCAATCAATGGACTTCTTGCCCTTGGTGTGGCAGGTACAGCACTCGACATCCTCATCCGCATGCCCCTGGCCCGCGACCCTCACCTCTGCCGCGCCCTCCACGACCCCCTTCTGCCGAAGAAGATGGCTCGGTGGCGAGATATTCCTGGGGGGGCTGGGCCAGGCCAGCAGAGGCAAGCGGGACGTGGAGCGGCATGGCTGCCTAGCGCTATGAGCGATGTGGGGCGTTGCAGATCGCCTCAGGTCTCAGGGGTGTCGAGCCTCCTGTTCTAAAGCAAAATAGGCAGCGGCGGGTGCAAGATGACGCGGAGGGAAGGGAGGGGGCGGATGAGAAGGGGGAGGAAGGTAGTGCGGATACGGAGGAGGTGCAAGGGATAAGGGACGATGTTGGCGAGGGCGAGGAGAGGAGCTGGCGAACTCTTTAGCTGACGCAATGCACTTTCCCTCGACATCTTATGATTTGTTCGATTCGATCGTTCGTCGTCGTTTCGGTTTGTTTGCATGTAGAATTTTCTTGCGTTTGATGTCGCCCCCCCCCCCCCCTCGTGCCTCCGGCCCTGGCGGGGCTCGCCGATGCCGACGAGATCAAGGACATTCTGGCCGCTCGGGGTCGGGGAGCGCGGGCATTGAAGTCAACAGGGCAGAGGCGCGAGCAGGGCAAATGAGGGATGGGGGGAGGAGGAGGAGGAGCGAATGCAGCAGGATCAGGAGGAGGGGGAGGAGGAGGGGGGATAAGCAGGATGGTGGCCTGGAAGACCATCAAGAGTATGATTTTGCACGCCCGCGCCCACGGGCTCTCGATCCTAAGTTAGATGCGCGATTTGCGAGCCCCTACGGGCTCCCATCCCAAAGTTAAACCCACGATGAGTTTACACCTTTTGAGCGAGGCGAGCCTTCACTCATTATTGATTACCCTAGACGCGGGAAGATAGGCAGGACGCCGCCCTGCGACTTCACGTAGGGCAGCACGCACTGCACGTTGTCGATAGGCTCCAGAACATCTCCGTAGCCGGACGCACTCCACGAAGGATTGTCTGGGTTGGGCTGGATGTAAACGCCCATCTGCACGAAATGCTTCTTCTCTCCGTTCATCATCTCCACCTCCATGAAGAACTTCGCGCAGCCGACGTTCATGGTGGTCTGGATCAGGTCCCGAGCCATGATGCAACCGACCCCGCAGTGCACCTTTTCTGACACGTAGACCATGTGCAGGTTGACGAAGACGTTGCGGAAGCTGTCGGGCACGACCCAAGGCCTGCGCGGCATGAGGTAGGTCTGTTGGAGCGTCTCCCTGCGGTCGACTATGTTCGCGTAGCAGTCGTTCAGCAGCTTGGCCAGGATGTGCGACTCCATCTGGTTGAAGACGTGCGAACCGATACCTTTTACCAAGCGGTGCCGGCGTTCGGGGCCGAAGCAGCTCAGGTTTGAGTTGCCCCTCTCGATCTGGTCGGGCACGTGCCACAGAAAGTGCAACTTCGGCTTGACGCACTCGGGGTTCAGGCGAGTGAACAATTTGAAGTGTATCACGATGGCCGCTCTGAGCTCGTTCACCTTGCCTACAGCTTTGCTGTCCAAGTTCAGAATGCAGACGATCTTTCGCATGGCCTTCAAACACATGCATTGCTCCACCATCGCGATCTGCGGCTCCAAGACCATGTCTACGAAGAGCTCGAGCACGGCGAGCACGCTGAATATCTCCGAAGCAAAGCATCTAAGGTGCCCCCCAACGTCGTCAACGAATCGGTCCTTGAAGAACTTCTTCGTCAAAGGCTTCGGGCACGTCTTTGGCCAGATGATGGTGCCATTGAAGCGGTCAAGGTCGTCAAGTGAGATGTTGTGCGCGTGCTTCAACTCGTAGATGAACTTGTTCGCTGTGTATTGGGCCACGCCGCCGCTCGCCATGAGGACGTGCATCCAGTCCCACCGAGTCCCAGTAATAGGCTTAATGACGTCGTTCGCGAACTCAGGGTCCCAGAGCAGAGTGCCAGGCTCGAAATTGATCCCAAGATATTTCTGCATCTCGTCGGCGGCCCTCCGAGTAGGAACTGAGTCAAGGAAGTTCTTCAGATAGGTGGTCATGTCCATGAAGGACTGGTCGTCGTGCAAATCAAAGTCGCAAGGCTTTGCCGTCCTGAAGCTCTTGATGTAGTCGTGACCTTCGAATCCCCGGCTGACGATGTTCTTGCAGCAGAAACATGGTTTGGTGCCAGCTGCTCCCTTCAGGGACCAGATCTGCTTGATCGCGAGCTCGTCGCACAGCACTTCCACGCTGTCGACCTTGAAATGGAAATCACCTTGGGGGTGAAAAAAAACAAAGGAGGAGGACGGGGGATGGGGGAGGGGGGGATGGCGGATGGGAGAGGCGAGGAGGAGCAGGAGGGAGGATAGAGGCAGGAGAGGCAAAGAGGAGTAAGAGGAGACTGAGGGGGACGGTGGAGGAGGAGGAGGAGGGAGGACGAGCGGGAGAAGGAGGAGGAGGAGGGAGACGGCTCAAGGTCGGGATTTTTCTGAAGTGCCCACCCGTCGAGCAATGGATGTTAGTGCCGACGGTCTTCATGCTCCAGCCATCGGGGTGCTTCGCGAACACGCGGACGATCTCTTTCATGAGTTCGGGCAGTCCCCAGACGAGCTCCTTGACCGTGTCAGTGCGGACGACCATGCAGGGGAGCCACCCTTGCGACCTCGATCTGAACCAGTCGGGCAATTCGGCGATGGACCAGTAGAAGCATTCGAGGGAGCGGCCGGAGTCGGGCCGCAGCACGTTCCCAGCGCGCACCGCGTCCACGTACAGGAGCAGGGTGAGCTTGTCGTTCTCCATGCGGCACCTCTTCAGGAGATCCCCGTACTCGGGCAACCTGGCGGTCATGTAGTTCAGGAATGCGTACGGGTTGATCATCGGCACGTCGAGCACGTTGACCTTGAGCTTCACGATGATGGGGCCATAGGGCGTCATCTGGTTTCCGAGGGAGTGGAGGTCTCGAGCAGCGCGCTTGCGTTGAGTGTGCTTCGAGACGTCAGCGCCGCCCAGCGCGGTGACTATCTCTGCGACGTGGCTGAACGGCAGGCTGCATGGCAGCCCGCGCGCGAAGTTGTCCGGCAGGACGATTGCCATTTTGGAAGGCGAGCCTTTCCAACCCCTTGCAGGTCATACCTGCATCAAACCTCGGGCAAAAAGGAGGCGCCGGAGGAGGAGGGCAGGGGGATGCAGGGGAGGTCGAGGAGGAGGACGACGACGACGAACAGTATAAGAAAGATGAGGATGAGAGGCGAGGGGAAGGGGGGGGAAGGGCGGGCAGTAGGGAGAGGTATGGGCAGAGGGAACGTGGGGGCGAAGGAGGGGCAGTCGGGCAGAAGCAGGGGACGTCGCTTTTTGAACCGCCCTCTTCCGAGCGAGAACCGTGCTTCGAGGAGGACGCGCCTTCTCTCTAATTCGATTAAATGAACAAGTGGGCATGCCGAGTGCGTGCGCATCCGCCACGACGGGAGGAGGAGGGGGAAGAGGAGGAGGGAAGGAGGAGGGAAGGAGGAGGCGGAGGAGTATCCCTCCCTCATTTACCATTACTCAATATGAATACTACTCCCCCTCTTCCCCTAATGGCGTGCCGAAGATATTCGGCACCCCCCCGCGCATTGTTTTTTACACGCAGGATTTCACCGAGTTGGGTTTTCATATGTGTTTTTGACAATCCGATTGTAAACGGCAGTTCCGACGGGGGGGGAGCCCTACCATTACTCAATATGAATACTACTCTCCCTCTTCCCCGGATGGCGTCCAGGTGTTGTTCGGAGAGTGTTCGGCACTCTCGCCGTCGTCATGCTCCTGGGGGGCCGGGTGCGGGAGCGCGAGCCGCCGCGGGCGCCGCCCTCGGCGCCCCCGTCGTCGTCGTCGTCGTCGTCGTCGTCGTCGTCGTCGTCGTCGTCGTCGTCGCCGTCGTCGTCGTCGTCGTCGTCGTCGTCGCCTTCGTCTTCGTCTTCTTCGTCGTCCTCGTCGCCCTCCTCCTCCTCCTCCTCCTCCTCCTCCTCCTCCTCCTCCTACTCCTCCTCCTCCTCCTCCTCCTCCTCCTCCTCCTCCTCTTACTCCCACCCGATTCGGTGACAGGACAATGAAGTAGCGCAATGGTATGGGATGGGAGGGAGGTTTAGGATGTCAGATGTTGACGCGAGCGCACCTAGCTTGTCTGCTCCCCCTCCCCTTCCTCCCCCCTCGTGTTTTCCCGCCTCCCTCCACTCACCTAGCGCCGAGTGCAAGCAGCGCGCAGCCGCTCATGCTACTCGCGGCCTCGGCTACTTGCTGGGGAGCGCGTTCTTGGCGGTCTTCCCCGCTCTCACGCCCTGCGCCTTCGAGTCGCCCTCGTGCACGCGTTTGAGGTCGAACTTTGTCAAGATGACCTTTGCCTGCTCCGTCGTGCTGTTGGAGTCCTTGCCCTGGAACTCGGCGCCGGTGGAGGTAGAGTCGCTGCTGTTCGACTCAACCTCCGTCTCCGAATAGGAGGCCAAGCTCGCTGGGGAAGGGAACTCTTCGTCTCCTGGGCGAGCCTCAGGTTGAGGGGCGGTCACTTTCGTCAACACCAGGGGCTTGGTATTCCCCCTCTGCAGCTGGTCATTCTGCTTGGCCGAGTCATTCGCCGGAGGCTTTGGAAGTTTCGGCCCAGTGTTCTTCAGCGGCGCCTCCTGGCTGGCTGGAGCCGCCGAGGGTGGGGTGCTCCACGACGTCGCCAGCTGTTGCTTCAGCCTCTCGTTCTCGAACTGCAGCTTCTGTGTCTGGGCCTCCTGCCCCTTCCAGTTGTGTGTGGCGATATGGCAATGCCACGACATCTGTGCTGCGTGTTGCTGCTGCTGCCACATCAGGTAGTCGTAGTGTTTCTTCTGCTGGCGGTAGTCGTAGTGCTGCTTCTCGTGGTAGTCGTAGTGCTGCTTAGACCAATGACCATCTGGCTGCCACTGCTTCTGCCAGTGCCACGAGTCCCACTGCCATGACGTCCAACTTCTGTCACCACTGCTGCCACTGCCCGGCGGGCGGCGGTGTTCGCCGTCGTAGTAGTCTGGCTCATCCTCACATCGGCCGCCGTCGTCGCCGTTCTCCTCGATGAACTTCACGGCCATGTCGAAGGCCGCCTGCACCTTTTCCGCTGGTCCTTTGGCGATGAAGTGGTCGCCGCCCAGTCGTAGGCAACGTGGGATGACTGACGCGCGCGACGCCCCGTCGCTGTGACGAGGCGTCGCGCGCCTCATCCCACATGGCTCTACCATGGGGGGGCCTCTTCGTCGAACAGTCCTGAGATCGTCAAGCAGCGCGATGCCCACTGCGTCCTGCGCCGGACCGAAGCTGAGCACCACTGGGTTTTCTCGTTCTTCCAGATCTGATTCCTCTGCCACGAGGTGAGGGTGCCCCCGCGGGGCAACGGGTGCGGGCCCATATGGACCCACGGGGGTTCGCCATCGCGCGCGCCCGAGAGTACGCGCGGCTGTGCCATGGCGGGATTGCCTCGCCACGAGTTCTCCTGATCCAGGAAAATGGCTGCGGAGACAAAGGACAAAAGGGGAACGACGAGGAGAGGGAGACGGACGAGGATGGAGGAAGGAGCAAGGAGGAAGGGCGGGGGAGGGCCCGCTTCACCCCCGACGAAAGCCTACGCACCAGCAGCCTGCCCGCGCCCCGCTCCAAGGAAAGCGCGATTTTGGCCACCGCGCATAGATTTGCATTCCCCTCACATGTATCGTGCCCGCGGTGCGGCGCCCCGAATGGCACGCCCCTCACACGTCTCGTGCCCACGTTGCGTCGCACCTCCTCACATGTGCCGTGCCACGCTGGAATGGCAGTTTTGTGAAGGTTTATGGCAGGTTTTTGGATTTGGCGGCGCCGATTTGGATAGTTCACCAGCACAGTTCATAAGCGCACTGTGTGCGTGTTTCGCTTGAGTTTAACTGTGTCCTAACTCTTGTCTAACTCTGTTATAACTTTTTACAAGTTTTCATAACTTTTTGATAACTTTTCATAAATTGTCCGCGTCGTGTTATAAGTCGACATATAACGCGTCGTGTTGCATATATGTTGGATGTTATGTTGCTCTACAGTTATAGGTTGCCCGATGTGGTTATATGGTTGAATGAACATGTTATATATATGTGTTTGGGCAATGTATGAAAGCATATATAACCATGCGAAGCGCGAAGATCAACGAAGTATGGGGCCACGTAACGTGCGAGGGGTGTGCCGAAATGGGCGCGGTGCCGCCATGCGAACGCAGCCATTGGAGCCCTCGGTGGAGCTCCCTATGGGGCCACGACACGTGTGAGGGGTGTGCCGAAATGGGTGCGGTGCCGCCATGCGAACGCAGCCACTGGGGCCCTCGGTGGAGCTCCCTATGAGGCCACGAAACGTGTGAGGGGTGTGCCGAAATAGGTGCGGTGCCGCAATGCGAACGCAGCCACTGGGGCCCTCGGTGGAGCTCCCTATGGGGCCACGAACCGGGTGAGGGGTGTGCCGAAATGGGTGCGGTGCCGCCATGCGAACGCAGCCACTGGAGCCCTCGGTGGGGCTCCCTATGGGGCCACGAAACGTGTGAGGGGTGGCCGAAATGGGTGCGGTGCCGCCATGCGAACGCAGCCACTGGGGCCCTCGGTGGAGCTCCCTCAGGGGCCACGAAGCGTGTGAGAGGTGTGCCGAAATGGGTGCGGTGCCGCCATGCGAACGCAGCCACTGGGGCCTTCGGTAGAGCTCCTATGGGGCCACGAAACGTGTGAGGGGTGTACCGAAATTGGTGCGGACCGCCATGCGAACGCAGCCACTGGAGCCCTCGGTGGAACTCCCCATGGGGCCACGACACGTGTGAGGGGTGTGCCGAAATGGGTGCGGTGCCGCCATGCGAACGCAGCCACTGGGGCCCTCGGTGGAGTTCCCTATGAGGCCACGAAACGTGTGAAGGGTGTGCCGAAATAGGTGCGGTGCCGCCATGCGAACGCAGCCACTGGGGCCCTCGGTGGAGCTCCCTATGGGGCCACGAAACGTGTGAGGGGTGTGCCGAAATTGGTGCGGTGCCGCCATGCGAACGCAGCCACTGGAGCTATCGGTGGAGCTCCCTATGGGGCCACGTAACGTGTGAGGGGTGGCCCGAAATGAGTGCGATGCCGCCATGCGAACGCAGCCATTGGGGCCTTCGGTGGAGCTCCATATGGGGCCACGAAACGTGTGAGGGGTGTGCCGAAATGGGTGCGGTGCCACCATGCGAACGCAGCCACTGGGGCCTTCGGTGGAGCTCCCTATGGGGCCACGAAGCGTGTGAGGGGTGTGCCGAAATGGGCGCGGTGCCGCCATGCGAACGCAGCCACTGGGGCCCTCGGTGGAGCTCCCTGTGTGGCCACGAAACGTGTGAGGGGTGTCCCGAAATGAGCGCGGTGCCGCCATGCGAACGCAGCCACTGGAGCCCTCGGTGGAGTTCCTTATTGGGCCACGAAACGTGTGAGGGGTGTGCCGAAGTGGGTGTGGCTGACGCGGAGGGGGAAGAGGGAGGAGGGGGAGGAGTGAGTGAGGGACGCGGGGCGTTCTCTCTTCAAAACGACGACCCAACACCACAGGACGGTTGGGAACTATCCTGGCGATGGACCCAACCATATGCAGCTACGAGCACCGCAAAGCAGGTTGAACGAATGAGAAGGAACTCCCTACGGGGCCACGAAACGTGTGAGAGGTGTGCCGAAATGGGTGCGGTGCCGCCATGCGAACGCAGCCACTGGGGCCCTCGGTGGAGATCCCTATGGGGCCACGAAACCTGTGAGGGGTGTGCCGAAAGTGGTGCGGTGCCGCCATGCGAACGCAGCCACTGGGGCCTTCGGTGGAACTCCTTATGGGGCCAAGGAACGTGTGAGGGGTGTGCCGAAATGGGCGCGGTGCCGCCATGCGGACGCAGCCACTGGGGCCCTCGGTGGAGCTCCCTATGGGGCCAAAAAACGTGTGAGGGGTGTCCCGACATGGGCGCGTTGCCGCCATGCGAACGCAGCCACTGGAGCCCTCGGTGGAGCTCCCTATGGGGCCACGAAACGTGTGAGGGGTGTGCCGAAATTGGCGCGGTGCCGCCATGCGAACGCAGCCATTGGGGCCCTCGGTGGAGCTCC